ATGCCAAAAGGAAAGCTCCCCAGCTAGTCCCCCTGCCAGCCAAACCAATGGCTGTAGTAGCATTGCAGCTCCCACTTGCTCATCTGATGATCTTTGTAGGCTTCTGATGTCCTGGGTTCCCTCTATGCACTGGATGTGCTGGTAGGTGGTGGGGCACATTCGAAGTGTTGCAAGCCTCTCTGTGGCAGTCCTGGCCGAGCCAGTTTCTTTACCTCCTGGGATGTATGCACTCCTAGGCTCCACGTTGGCTATGTAGGTGGGTGTGGACATTACCATGATGGCCACACTTCTCCTGACTGCTGTGGTGAGGTGGGGGTGGGCAGGTACAGGGAGCTCCAGAAGGGCAGCAAGCCTCCCAGCTGTACCAGTTGTACCTCTCCACCTCCAGGGCTCTGTGTGCCAATGCTGAGCACTCTTTCCCCACAGCTTGAGCTCCACTCACCAAGCTGAGCTGTCTCTCTTTACCTCCATGGTTTTACCTGCATGTTTTGTGGATAGATGTGGGAAATGTGTAGAGGAACAACAAGCCTCCCATCTGAGGCACTTCCTAGCTTCTGGGCACTCCTGGATCAGAGCTCCCCTAACGGAGGTCCCCAATCACTGAGTATCTCTCAGTTATCTTCCATTAGTGAGTCCAAGTTGCCCTCATTCATTCTGAAACTCACAATATGTAAGCCTGTGGTCAGTTTTGAGTCTTATCTGTCCTATGCGAGCCTGGGGGTAGTGAATTCAGGTATTCAGGTTCCTCACTCTGCTACCATCTTGCCAGAACCTCCATTACTGAAATTGTTATGGACCCACAAAATATGCTGACTAACTAAAGCATCTTTTTTTTTTTTTTTTTAGGATTTATTTATTTGTGCATACAGAATTGGGGTACAGGCCAAAGGTGTGGTGATTGAGAAGATTCACCAGAGACAGAGTGGGGAGCAGAACAAGCAGATCATCAAAGTTCACTGCTGAGGGGAGCAGCAGGCGGGTCAGGAGAGGTCTGCCGTGCCATGTGTGTCACCTCCGAGGTGGGGATGAACTCATTCTGAAGTGACTTTAGTTTTTTAGTGCTGTGCTTTAATCTGCTGTGCCACCAGGGAGGGCCCCATTTTAACTTAAAAAAAAAATTATAATAGTTTATTTTTACATATTTTTGTACATATATTATTATCATTATTTTCTCGCATGGTCTGTTATATTCCTGCTATGAAAGAAACCATCTGGTATTTTTCCTTTTCTTTCTGACTTATTTCACTAAGCATGATCTTTTCCAGTTCCATCCATGTTGCTGCAAAAGACATGTGTTTCTTTTTTTGGTTGCTGAGTAATATTCCATTGTGTATATGTACCACATCTTTTAAATCCAGTTATCCTTTTATGGGCATTTGGGCTGTTTCCATGTCTTTGCAATTGTGAATAAAGCAGCAATAAACATGGGAGTGCAGGTATCTTTTTGAATCAGTGTTTTTGTGTCTTTTGAGGAGAAACCTAGCAGTGGGATTGCTGGGTCGTAAGGAAGCTCCATGTTTAGCAGTTTGAGGAAACTGCAAACAGTTTTCCATAGTGGTTGTACTAGTTTGCATTCCCACCAGTAGTGCAGGAGAGCTCCTTTTTTCTCCACATCCTCTCCATCATTTGTTGTTGCTACTAACTAAAGCATCTTGACAAAGAAGAGGAGGACTGATGATTTCATGCTCCTGGTCTTCAAACTATACTACAAATCTATATTAATCAAAACAGTTTAGCTGTGACAATTTAAAAGATCAACAAATTTATGGACTATCATTGAAAACCTAGAAATAAACTCATGTATATGTGGATTAATCTATAGCAAAGGAGTTGACTATACTCTGGAATAACAAAATCTCTTTCCCAAATGGTGCTGGAATGCTGGACAACCACATGCAGAAAAATAAAACTAGATAACTCACAGCATACACAAAAATTATCTTAAAATGAATAAAAAATTTACATGCAAGACTGTAAACCAAAAAATTCATGGAGAAGTCAAACAA